ATATATATATATACATGCATATATATGTATATATGGATAAATACATATAGATATAGGTAGGTATATAGATAGATCTTTTAGACCAGAGGTTTTAAACCTCTGGTTCTTCTGTCATGGACTCCTTAGGCTATGTGGTAAAGCCTATAGATCCCTTCTCAGAATAAAATGTTTTTAAAAGATAAAATAAAATTCACAAGATAACAAAATAAGTGAAATATGTTGCAATAAAGATTTTTTTCCCATTCAAATTCATGGACCCTGTGAAATCTATCCATGTACCCCAGGTTAAGAACACCTTCATTAGACCAGTCATTTCCAAGGGATCATGAATTCCTTCCTTCACATATATATTTCTAGAATACTTTTATATGATCTGTATTATTTGAGGTCTGCACAAAGAATCCCCTCCTACTTCCTGATATAGCTAGAGTATTCAAATTAATTCAATTAACTATTTACTAAGTACCTATTCTATGTCATATTTTTCTATTAGTCACTAGGGATATAGAGACAAAAAATAAAACTATCTTTGCCCTCAGGGAATTTACCGTTTTCTAGGGGAGGGGAAAGAGGGGACATGACTAATTGTACCAGATAATGTCCTAGGTGTGTGGTTATTTATGGGAAAAGTTTTGTTGTATGACTTCAATATTGGTAGAGCCAAACCCTTGCCAGGTGGCTAACAGTCCCCTGCTTTGTTCATGAGTTTGCTCTCTCCCTCCCTAAATTTTAAGTAATTTAACCAATGAATTGCAGGAAAGGTAACAATCCGATGATAAATAATGATGTTTTTAAGGAAATAAGAAAAACAGGACAAATGAAATCCAAGGCAACTGATGTAAAGGAACAAACAGTTCATTCTGTGAGTAGGTGCTGTGCCTTGGTTGGATCTTGGTCCATTCTCCTGGATGGAATAGGTCTCTGTCTAGCTTGCTAGATCTGTGATATGGCTGCTGCATTAGAAAGGGCAAACACTGTGTATTTTTTCTGAATACTTGATAATAGCTTTCTTTTCCCCTCCCCCTGGAACAGAGAGGAACAGACGGAGTGGCCGGCAGCACCCCGTGTCTACAAGAAGAATGGTCGCTCTCTATGACTATGACCCAAGAGAAAGCTCTCCTAATGTTGATGTAGAGGTATTGACTCACCACTGTTTTGGTTCATTCCTATAAAACCCCCTTCCTGCAACCTTGTCTAAGGAGGGCCCCTTCCAGTGGGATGCTAGAGCCAGCTATTGCCCGATCAAGAGAGCCAATGGTTAAATTTCCACGTGAGCATTTACACCTTGTAAATTGGCAAATGCTTGATGTATTGTTTTATTAGTTGTCTAGACTTCAGAAAGTGATGGAGAAAATGTTAATAATGTATATTAAACTTAAAAGTGTGTGGTGTGTCCATTTGATTGGAGAGCTGGTTGTCAACACATCACCACCACCACCGCCACCACCATCCCATCCACTTTCACCTTTCTTGTTTCCCTCCCAGAGATATAATGCCCAGCCCTACCTGGAAACAATCAAAGGAAAATAAAGGGTATGGTCAGCCTCTCCAGCTGCATGACCACCTGCCCCCATAATATTTTCCTGTGGACACAGATGGTACCACCAAACCCTCAGGCACTAGTTTCAAAGATTGAGGTCAGCAGTTAGCTGCCAGCAGTTTGGGATGAGAGATGGAATGCTCAGCTGTTATCACTCCTGAGCTACTGTTTTCTAAGGAAAGAGACAAGTCTGGAAAAAATATAAAAAAAAAAATTAATGGATATGAAGCATTTTGTTTCCAGAGAATATCAAACCAAGGCAAGTGAAATTTGTAGAGATGTAGACACTGCAAATCTTGATCATATCTTACAATTCATTCTCACTTAAAAGTTACAAAGTGATTTTCCTCACAACAACCGATTGAGGTAGGTCAAATATTAAAAGGCAGGAACTGTGGTGTGATGTAGGTCCTAGGTTCAGATCCTGGATCTGCAACCTAGATATAAGCTTAGGCAAGTCCCTTTGTTTGTTCTTTCTGTATCTTGGTTTATATCTCTGCAAAATGAAGGGGCTAGATGAGTTGATCACTAAGGTCTCTCCTAGAGCTGATTGATATTGTCATCCTCATTTCATGAATGAGAAAACTGAGGCTCAGAAAGGTAGTTTCCCAATAGAATTTACAGAACCACGGACTTCTGAGGTGGGATGTTTTTGCTCTATAAAATAATGTTTGGTATGGCAATGAACAAATAAATTAATTTAGGTAGAATTGTTATTTTTATTTTATTGGCTTGGCCTATCTATGAACAATTGATCTTTCCAATTGTTTAGATCTCACTTTATTTGCCTGCAAAGTGTTTGTGGGATGCTCTTAAGAGACTGTCTAGTTCAAACCCTTTATTTTACAGAGGAGGAAACTGAGGCTCACAGATAATTAAAGTGACTCCTCACACAGAGGAGTTGAACCAAGATCCTCTCATTCTAAGTCCTAATTCAAATCTATGTCCTTTTGACTCCAAATGCAGTGCTCCGCACTTTTCCAAAGAGAACAGCTGGATTCAGAACTAAAAGGGCCCATGGAGATCATCTGCTTCTATCACTTACCTTATAGATAAGGAAACTGAGACTGAGAAGTAGAAAATGATTTCTCTAAGGTCTAGTTAGTAAGCTAATAATTAGCTGCAGATTTGGAATTCAACCTTAGTTCTTTTGAGTGCAGTCCCTCTATGCCAACCAATCCAATCAACTAATTATGCATTAAGTTTCTGTTATGTGTATACAATACATATTGAAGAAACAAAGACAAAATAAAAATCAATTCCTGCCTTCAAAGAGTTCACAGTCTACTAGGTGTATACAACACATAAGGAGATAGGTATATACATAATAATTTGAAGAGGAGAGAGTAAGCATTATCAACTAAGGGGAATGAGGAAAGGTACTTGTAAGAGAGGGAATATGAGTGGAATTAAAGTCCATTTTGAGATATGCTGCAAAGGAAAGCAGGCAAGAAAATAGATCTGAATCAAAATAAAGATAGCACTCCTTCCTCCCTTCCTTCCTTCTCTCTCTCCCTCCCTCTCACTTTCTTTTTCTATTTTTATTCTCCTTTATCTTTCTCTTCTTCCTTCCCTTATTCCCTTCCTTCCTATCTTCCTTTTTTCTCTCTTCCTTGCTCCCTCCCTCCCTTCCTTCCTTCCACCTTCTCTTCTTCCCTCCTTTCCTTTCTTCCTTACTTCCTCCCTTCCTCCTTGCCTTCCTTTCAGACCTTCTGTACTATTCTTTTCAATTAAATTTAACAAGCATATATATATAATATATATATATGTATACACACACACATTATATACATACATACATATATATACATACTGTGCTAGGTCCTGATACAGAGACAAAAATGAAATAGTCTGTCCATAAGTAGCTTACATTCTGTATAATTTTGTGCCATCCTCAGTAAACAGAGGGAACACTTGCTTCAAAGGGTAGATGCTACCATTTAAAAGATAACCACATAGAGGAAAAGTAATGTCAAATTTATTTTCAAAACTATTGCTTCATTACAGCTTAATACTACTTTCCCTTCCTATCTTTACAGGCAGAACTCACATTTTGCACAGGAGACATTATTACTGTGTTTGGTGAAATTGATGAAGATGGATTTTACTATGTAAGTTTTGGATATACCAAAAGAGGTTATTTTGGGGTTGTGTGTGTATTGCACCCTGAAATGAGGGAGACTCATTTGAATTACAGAAAATCTAGTTAACAAATTTTGCCTATTTTTTTTGTTACATCTATTTGATCCAGAAAGACCTGGATTCAAGTCTGTTTCTGACACATACTGTCTGTGTGACCCTATACAAGTCACTCAAACTCTCTGTGCTTTAGGAAACTTTCTAAGATGCAGAGAAGGTACCAACTTGGGGGCAAGGAGAGAGGGGAGAGGAAGGAAGAGGCAGAGACAGAGAGAGACAGAGACAGAGACAGACAGAGCAGGGGAGAGGAGGGAGGGAGAGAGACAGAAAGAGAGAGGAGAGAACTGAGAGAAAGAAGAGGACAGAGGTGACAGGGAGAGATGGGGAGAGAGGAAAGGGTAGGAAGAGAAAGAGAGAGGAAGAAGAAAGAAAGTGAAAAAGAGATAATTCCTGTTTCATTACGATAATATATCCATTCTTTGGTTCTTTTGTAACATGGCTAATATGGAAATGATTTTGCATGACTGCACATGTATAATCTATATCAAATTGCTTGCCTTCTCAAAGAGGGGGGACGGAAAGGAGAAAGGGAGAGATTTTGGAACTCAAAATTTTCAAATGAATGTTAAAAATTTTTGTTTCCATGTAATTGGGAAAAAATAAAATTAAAATTAAATGTAAAAAAATATATATCCATTGCAGAACTGAAATATCTCTCTATATTATTTATATACATGTACATATATATGTTTATTTTGTACTTTAATTTAATTTTGAAAACACTTATTAAGCACTTACAATGTGCTAGCTGAAAGGCAAGGTAGTGTGGTACGTAGAGAGCCAACCTCAGAGCCAGGAAGACCTGGATTCAAGTGTGGCCTCTGACGCATATTGCCTGTGTGACCCTGGACAGGTCATAGCCTCTCAGTGGCCCTCAGGCCACTCTCTAAGACTCTAAGTTATAGAGAAGGTGCCAATCCTCATGGTGGAGGGAGTTTCTTATACCAAGAAAATCACAGGTCTGATCTAAGAACAACAACAAAGTGTGTCAGCCACTGTACTAACTAGATTATAGAGATGAAAGACAAAAATGAAAACAGGCCCTGCCCTCAGGGAGCTTATTGACAACTAGAGGATCAAGAGAAACAACTTTGTACACACAGTCAGTCAACCCCAAATATATTGAAATTACAGATTGGAAGAGGGACTCAATCTATGATTTCATTGATATTGGCATCTCCCAGATAAGGAAACTCCCTCTGTGGATGTAGGTACAAAATCATTCAAAGTGTAAAACAAATAACTAAAAACTCTAAGCTAATAATAATAAGCTAATAAGTCTTCTTACAAAGCCTCATCATGGCATGCCATGGTATGAGAGAATAAAACCAAGCAACAAGTATTGTTAGATCGTTGTCCCTACATAGAATTTCTCCTTTCAGGTCTTGGGAAGAACCCAAGGGGTGGTGGTGGAGTATAAATATGCTTCTAGTCTATGGTAGCAAAAAGCACATTCCCTCCCAACCTCATTTGTTAACAAGACCTTTGATTTCCATGAGCATCATACATATTAGATTGGCTAATAAGACAGAAAAGGTAAATGACAAATGTTGGAGGGAATGTGGGAAAAATCAGACATTAATGCACTATTGGTGGAGTTGTGAACTGATTCAACCATTCTGTAGAGCAATTTGGAACTATGCTCAAAGGGCTATAAAACCATGAATACCCTTTGACCTAGCAATGTCACTATTAGGTCTGTATCCCAAAAGAGATTGACATGAATGAAATAAAATTCTTTCCAAGGACAAATTAAAGGAATTAATTTAGGTGCTCAAAAGTTGTGCCAATGGGGCAGAGGCTCTAGTAGGTACTACCAGGTTAGAATAACTTCAGGGATGAACCCCGAGACAGAGTATACCTATTCTCACAGACATGAGCCAAGGTAGGAAAAGCCTATCCCTGGCTGGTCTAAGTGGGATCGAAAGGATTCATTTTTCACCCACAGTAACTTTAAAAGTCTCTCTGCTAAGCTATAGAGGGACCATGTTCTGTGTTGTAAGAGCAATTACAAAAATTATGTATCCTTGATGTAGAAATTAACATAATACAGTGCTTTCGGGAAGCTAGGTAGCATGGTAGGTAGAACACTGGCCCTGGAGTCAGGAAGACCTGAGTTCAAATGTGACCTCAGACACTTATTAGCTGGGTGAACCTGGACAAGTCATTTAACCCTGTTTGTTTCAGTTTCTTCACCTGTAAAATGAGCTGGAGAAGTAAATTGCAAATCACTCCAGTATCTTTGCCAAGAAAACCCCAAAAGGGGTCATGAAGAGTTGGGCACAACTGAAACAACTCGACAACAACAACATATAGTGCTTTATAAAAATGATTTCATTTTATCCTAACAGTAGCCTTGGGAGGTAGGTGCTATCATTGTCTCCATTTTGCCAATAAGGAGACTGAGGCCAGCAGAAGTTAAATGACTTGGCCAGGGTCACATAGCTGGTAAGTATATGAGGCAGGATATGAAGTCAGGTTTTCCTGACTCCAGGTCCCACACTATCTACTGCACCAGCTGAGCGTTTCCTGTGCACTAAACATTGTGTTCAGGACCAGGGATACAAAAAAAAGAAGCAGAGATAGTCTGTGACCTCACAGAGCTTACATTTAGACCAGTCCCACGCAAGAGAGTGGTGGCCAGGGAAAGGCACTTTTGTTAGAATGTTATATATTATAAAATAGATAGTATCCTCCATTAAAGTCTACCCCAGTCCCCTCATGCAAGTGACATTGACTCTTGACAGCTATTGTCACTGGAGATCCATTAATTGTTAGATTAATGTTAGAGGGGGATTGATAAACCAGTAAAGGTTTCTAGTGGGTGCTCAGGGGTAGCCTGTCATCTGAGGATAAACTTGTAGAGGCTCTTGACCTGCGGGTTGGCTACCAGGGGATGGATATTTCTGTGGCCTCAGTATCTCCTATAACTGTCTCACCTGGTACAAAGAGATTTTGACACACATCAATGCAGGTTGCCCCACACCAACAAAATCACACTCTCAGGTCCTTGAAGGAGTCAAGTAATTTATAAACTTCTTAGAGTCATACTTATTTATTAAAAATATTTATATACATTAGATAAAACGCATTACTCTTACTGTTCACACTCATGTGCAATTTGGTTCCACGTCATTTCTAACGCATGTAAGCTGTCAAAATGAACTTATCTAGATGTCAGAGAGGTACAGGCATTCACAGAAAGGAACATCAGATATCATCCAGTCCATCAACCCCCTCTTTTTTCAGCTGAGGAAACTGAGGACCAGAGAGGTTAAGTGATTTGCCCATGGTCACTTTAAGTCACCATTACTAAGCAGCACTTGAGTGACAGGACATTGAAATGTTTCTGGAATTGGCCTTTTTCATCTGTGGTGGGGCTAGTTGGCCAGAAACTCCCAGTGATTTCATGTCCATTCATTCACATTTTCAAGTCTAAAATACTATCTCTAAGGTATTGTGGACTATTGCTTAATTAACCTGATATTTTAAAATAGTCAAATGTTAAAATAGAGCTTTTTTTAAAAACACAAATGTAAATATAATCATGGTGGTGCAGTGGATGGAGTGCCATGCCTGAGGTCAGGAAGACTCATCTTCACAGCTCAGACACTCAGACAATGGCCTCAGACACTTACTAGCTGTGTGACCCTGGGCAAGTCTCTTGATCCTGTTTGCCTCAGTGTTCTCATCTATATAATAAGCTGGTGAAGGAAATGGCAAACCACTCCAGTATCTCTGCCAAGGAAACCCCAATGGGGTCACAGTTGGACATGACTGAAATGACTGAACAGTAACAAAAATATATTTATAATGAGAGTCAGCATAGTATAGTGTATAAGGAGCTGGTCTCAGAGTCAGGAAAACCTGGGTTTAATTCTCACCTCTGATGCATGGCTGTGTGACTAAGACCATGTTACTTAATTCCTCAGTACCCCCAGGTACCTCTTGAGTATAAGTTGGAGAAAACAAAAAACAAACAAAAAATAATATAAATAAGTTTTGAGACTTTTTAAAGTACAAGTTGAGACTAGTTGATCATCTGCTCAGGTAGGAGTTTTTTCATCAGCATTTCCCTACACTGATGAAATCAACAAGCCTGGACCAAATAATAACAATAATATTGATAATAATGTTGCCACTTGGATTAGCAAGACTTTAAGAATTAAGAGGAGATAAAACAAAACCTTAATCTTAGAAGACAATAATTAATGACTTCTCTCTCTTTCCATATACACATTTTTCTATGTCATAGGGAGAGCTCAATGGACAAAAGGGCCTGGTTCCTTCAAACTTTCTGGAAGAAGTGCCTGATGACGTCGAAGTCTACCTTTCGGATACACCATCCCGTTATTCTCAAGATGCCCCAATGCGTACCAAGGCTAAAAGGGTAAGCAGTCATATTACATATTTTAATATATGTTCCAGTCTTTCATAATTTGTTGTCTCATGCTTTTTTACACATACACATTTTACACTTTGGGTTTGGGAGTGGGGTGGGTGAAATGTACCACCTGAAACATTGCAATGTGTTCTTCTGCTAGTTACTTGGTGTTGGTTTCTTACTGAATCTAAAATTTTAAGCTATATTTTATTTGCTTTACCAAGAAGTTCCATTTTAATTCTAATTTGGTCAACTTTTATTCATGAAAGAGCTTCCCATGTCTTAACATAGACCATAAAAAAGAAAGTACAATAAAATACAAAAAGATAATAGCTCTTCTTTATAGAGAAAACTTAAATTGATTTGGTGAGCAATGGTTGCTATTTGCTTGCCTTCCATTAAGGTTTATCAATCCCCCTCTAACATTAACATTAGTATACTATTTCCAATACTTTTTTTTATCTGAGATTACATTCATGTTGAGTGTTTCATCTTTATTTTGTTTCATCACTTCAAGTTTTTCTATATTATATATTTTATATATATTTTTATTTCTTTGCTCATCTGCTTGGAAACAGAAGAAGAGTGTTCATTTCACACCTTAATAAGGCAATGTAGCCTTCACGTAAGTGAGCAACTGAAGATACCAATAAAGATACCAATTTAAGCTACCTTGCAATAACTAATGCAGTAGTCTTAAGACTTAACTGTGGGATTCAGAAAAAGAAATATGTCTCAAAAAATCATTGGCCCAAAAATCTGAGGATGTTGCTTTTTTTCAGTTATGAAGCTTAAACGAATTTGTCATAAAACAAATTCTCTTGTGTCCATTTCTCACTACCATATTATAACAAATTCATGAAAAGGTCAACATTGGGAACATATTTCTTAATGAAGAAAAGCATTTCTGTTTATGTAGAGAAGTGTTCCAATGTCTAAGGATTCTAAAAAGCAAAAGCTGCAGATTGCATTGTTAGCCAATCCCTGGAAAAAAGGCACAATCTATTACTTGTAAAGACTTTTAACCACCCCTCCGAAAAATTCATAAAAAAGGTTATAATTCACATGAATAGTTTAATTAAGTTGGCCTGGAGTTGTCTCATAACACTAGCAACCTCAAATCCTGGCTTGAACTACCTAGAAATGTTTTCTTAGGCAGTTTGACTTCTGTACTACAAAAATGTGATGATATGTAGCCCATAACAGACATTTAAAAAAACAAAGAAACAAACCAACCAACCTCTGAGAGACACTGAATAGTGTTTGGTTTACCAATGCAATGTTAACTGTCATGGATGATGCAGCTCAGTGGATGAATGCACTAGGCTAAATACATGGTATCTTCAGGTGTACTTGGGATGCTTTACTAAGTTGTTTTCCATTAGAATTAGGCCTTGATTTCAAATCCAAGGAAGCCTGAAGACCCTTGGCTAAATTTTCTTTTTTGTAGGAACATTTTGTATTTGAATAAGGTCTGGCCTGAAATAAGAAGGGCTATGGGGAAAGTGAATTCTACTATGTACATTAAAACGTGCATCTAACTGCATAGCCTCTTTTAGGCAAACAGTAACTGCATTATGTGATCAGAATAAAAGAATTCTATCGATGGGGTTCAAGGACTGATGTTATATTTAAAATATACTGAAATACTCTCAAGTCCTAAGCACTGAAAAAAACTCATTTTCACTTTGAAATATACAAAGCACACTTTAAAACAATAAGGGCCTTTAAGCTTTCTTTGATTGCAATTAAGGTTCATTTTAGTTTTTTTTTTCTTTTTAACCAATGTACCATCTCTCTCCAATATATACATATAGCACAGTAAATTGTGCAAAATGGATTCAAGGACATCAGAATTTTACATCATCAAATAGTGTTTTGGTTTTGTTTTGTTTTGTTTTGAATACAATAGGAATTCCTCCGGGGAAACTTTTGCTCCCAAGATTCAGTTGCTGGTACTTAGCCCATTGTACTTATTCTGGGCTAACTGCTATGTTAATTCAAAGAACTCAAATTATCATTTGCCGAAATTTTCCTTTTTTTTCTTTTTTTTTCTTTTGCCATTATTTTGGCAAAATGAAACGTGGCAATTGTTCAGAACCATTAGGTCCCAAAGCATGTGTCTTAACGCTTGGTGGCCGCTGTACTTTGGGAGGTGACGCTTATATGTAATTTGCCTTTGATATATTTTAAGCCACTGATAGAAGACATGAACCTCTTTGCCCCCTTTTGGTGGGAAATGGGACCTTAAGATGTTACCCCCACTGAATTGATGTTGTTGGCTTTCAAACATTCAATAAACTGTCACAATATACCTAATAGGTTCCTCCTGAGAATACAGGTACGTCAAGGAGAGCACCATCCCCCACAGTCCATCTGCATTCTGGGTCACCTCCGTCATCTATGGGTTCTGGTAGTCCTGGGAGAGGCAGGGAAAGGGCCTCGAAAAAGAAAAAGGGTCTGCTTTCCAAAGGGAAGAAACTTCTGAGAAAACTGGGTGCAGTGAAGTGATCCATATACTTCTGGACGACTTGTAACGCCTGGCCTATGTAATTTCCTTTCATCCCAAACTAGGGCTTTCATGACTCACTAAAGTACTTTCTAAAACCATCTCTGTTTTTTTCCCCCTTCCTTTCTGACACCAGTAGGGGAAAAAATGTAATTTTGCACTATGGTCTACTTTAACTGACTGCAAGAGTAAAGTGGGCCTGTTGTTCTTTCCAAGTCATTGTTGCCAATCTGCTCAGATTTTCCAAAGTATGATTTGTGGGGGAGGGGGGAACCATTAAATAACAGGTGGATGAACAGCTACTGGGGTAGCCCACTCCCCACCTACAATATCTCATCTTTCTGCATTTGTTACCTGCCCTTAAAGGGATGACTTTCAAGTTTCTCTTTTTCCAAATGCTTGCCTCATGATGCGTAAATGTCACTTAACTATGGTCTTGAAATTCCTAGTTTATTCAGCCTTGATGTTCTGCCTTATAAAATGCACAGTGATTTGTACTGTCTAGTAAATATACAGTGTATACTTCGTATGTGTTCTACATTCAAATGTCTTCATTCTCATTGAAACACGAGTTTGAAATCAAATAATCTATTACTGGCTCCATTTAATGTCTGTAATTTGGGAAAACAAGAAATAGGAAAAAGAAAAGTCATTTCATTTTAATTTTATTTTAGACTTTGGCCTGAGTTCACTGATTGGGAAAAAAAAAAGAATTCCACATACAACTTAATTATAAAGTTCTCACGCCCTATCAATACACTTTGTAAAACCTACTTTGGGCTACTCTCCTCCATGTAATGTCTGAGTCCTCCAACCTGCTGGAAAGCAGGCATTTTTGCCCCTTTCGTGTTCTTCTGTAGCTGTGCAAGCTTGGGTTCAATCATTTTTCATTTTATTGATGTCAGTGTGAAATACACGGAAATGGGCTTGTCAGTAAGGTGCCATGTGTGCATGTGTGTCAAAAATGCTACACCAGGCACAAAAGGCACGAAGAAGGCATCCTAAAATTCCGAGCCCCACCTGCTTCCATGCCCATTTTTCAGTACTGGCATCTGCTGAACAAAAGCGGTCTTACCAGTTGCTGGCCAGTCTATTTGGCAGTAACTCTTTTGTAACTCTTGTCCCCTTGAAAATTGTTTTTACTGTTTATACATACTTTTCAGACTGCCTTTCTTTTGTAACTTATGAAAGGTTTATAAATGATCAAAGCTTCCCCCATTGTGTCTTCAAAGAACTCGACTGTAAATTATTGTAAAAAAAAAAAAGGCAATTATTTGTGTGTGCTAGATGTATGAAATTCAAGACAACTGCTGGCCTAAACTTGTGGTTAAATATTGTGTGGGTGTGTGCATGTGTACAGTTCATGTAAGATATTTTATGTAAATAAAATATTTGATATTTTATAGAATGTTGTTGAGACATTTCTTTGTATTTGTGGGAGGCTTGCTCATTGATGTTGTATAACTAAGTCATATACATAAATACACACAATAAAGGAAGGGGAATGCTCTTCCTTCAAGTAGAAAGAGGGACTCTGAGTATTTCTAGGCATAACTGTGTTTCAAATATAATCAGTTTCTTTTATAATCCTATGGATTTTATTTTATGTTTAAAAACATTATCCTTGAGGAATCTGTAGGCTTCATCAGACTGCCAATAGGGTCCATGACACACAAAAATATTAATGCTGCAGGTATTTCTGAAAAATGTGCTCCATCAATGCACACTCATTGTAAGAGATCCAGTTAGAGACATATAAATGCAGGCATAACTAGTAATTTATGTTTCCCAGGACAAGTGGCACAGAAACAAAACTCTCCAGAGGATTTGGGAGGAGGCAGCATCAGGGGATCAGAGAAGAGTTCACTTGGGCCATAGCCATGGGCATGCCTGAGGGAGCATCCTTTATTTTTTCCTTGTTATTTCTTGATAATGAGGTGTGAAAGTCAGCAGTTTCTGTGTTTTTGAAGAGCTACCAGTGTCATTTTAATTTTGGCACCCTAGCTGAGTCAAAGCCCCAGTCAATCTGCCCTAGTTAAGGCTCTGATTAAAGGCAATGGCGACTAGAAACCTGAAAAGGTTCCTCTTTGCATTGTAGCGTCATCTGATCCCCAACTACCAGGATGTCAGTTAAGGTCTTGATGGGTTGAACAGAAACAACTCATGGCTCCTTCTGAAAAGATCCAAGAAGAGACTTTTGTCTTAGCTCACCTAATTCAATTTATGCTACTGGAGAATGCTTTCATCTAAGGTCTTCGTATAGGGGGATGAAGGATAGGCCTATCACTAGGTCATAGGGGATGATTGTTTGGGACAGCCCAGATTGGGCAGAGGGGAATTCTTGACTCGGAAAAGGAAGAAAGAATGCTTTTGGCTTCAAGAAATTGATCATATACCTCTAATTAAATGAAATACAGAAAGCATTGGGCAAATCAAGTAAGACACTGTTAGGCACTTGGAAATACAAAGAAAAGGGGAAACATTCCCTGCTCTCCAGGGTTTACATTCTACTGTGGGTCACATGTAAATAGGTATGTACTTAGAATACTAATAACCTGGAGGACAAAGCTTCTAATAGGATATAGAGCAAGAAGAGATTTGAAGGCAACCAGGAATTCTAAGAGGTAGCAGTGAGGTAAGAATGCATTCTAGACATGAAAGACAACCTTCAGAGTGAGTGAAGGTATAGAGGAAGAAGATGGAAGACAAGTGCTGTATGTAAGTAGGCCAGTCTGGCTAGAACATGGGATGCATGAAAGAGAGTGATGTGTAATAAGGCTCATATGGCTGTGGATAATCTTCTGAAGTTCCTTTCATAACCAGAAAAGCTTGAGAAAGAGGGAGTGGACTTCCTGACTGGCCTCAGGTACTAGCCAGAGGGCTGGGGCAAGTTCTAGGGATTAATGTAATAATTCACATCAGGTATGGAAAGAACTCTTAGCCATTTCGGTTCTGACTCGCCAAAGCTATCCATGCTACCTGTCTTGAAAGGTTTATTCCTGTCCTACATTTTGGGGCTCAATTGTTTGCAACTGGGAACTATCCTTTGAAGCCCAACTCAAACGCTGCCTCCTCTCAGAAATCTCCCTAGTTCTATCCTTTCTGGAATGTGATTTTACTCACACCCCTTTAATACACTCGAGGAAGGGGATCAAGAGCACAGGTAGAAGGTTGATTGGATTTGGTGAGGAGGACCACATCTTTATCAGAGACTGATATAAAGGAGAACAGAATGGGAGATGATGTAAAGGGCTAGACAGAAGGGGAGAAAATGGAGCTCCTGGTGAATGGTCTCTATTTTCTTAGTAGAGTATGAGGTGAGGTCTATAGGTGTGAGGGTTAGTGGAACAGAGTGGATAGGAGGTTTGAGGGCAGAAGAAGAAGTCTGGAATAGCATCTGTGAAAGCAGGGTAGAGAATTATTGTAGTCTAAATGACTTAGTTGCTCAAAGTCATTCTTAAAATGCTGCTATTATTATACACAATGTTTTCTTGGTTCTGTTCACAGCACTCTTCACCATGTCATGCAAGTCTTTCCATGCTATTCTAAGATCATTGAGCTCATCATTTCTTATAGAACAGGAGTATTCCATCACAACCACACACCACAACTTGTTCAATCATTCTCCACTTGATGAGGATCCCTGCAATTTACAATTCTTTGCCACCACAAAGAGAGCTGCTCTAAACCTTCCATCCACACTCAGTTATAATTACTATTTATGAATTTCCCTCCATCTTATTTTTACTATTCTCTTTCTCAACCTTTTTTTTGCTGTATCCCTGTTACAATATCTTCTTCCCCCACCCTCCCACCCCCTACTTCACCCACCTCTCCAAGAGTCCCCCGTCACTTTCCCCACTCCCAATCTCAATCAACACACCCCTCTAAAAGTCTCTCCTCCACCCTATCCCCCAGTTTTCTCACCTCTCTGCATGTTCAGAAGACTTCTACACCATTCTAGATGTACATGTTGTTTCCTTTTCAAGCCAGATGAGAGTAAGGTTCCAGTATTACCAGCCCTCCACTTCCTCCCCTCATCTGCTTCCTCTGTATTAGTTTTCATATCCCATTTTTTGTAATTGCTTCGTTTTACATTTTCCTACCCAATTTGGTTTTATAGCATCACCCCATCATACACAATTCAGAACCAACCTTTCTTTCAAACTACCTTAGTAATGATGACAGCTTTAAGAATACTGATAACATTTTCATATATATAATAAGTAAATATTTTGACCTTAATGAGTGCCTTATAATTAGTTTTTAGTGTTTTCCTTATATTTCTTTTATATCAAATTTTCCATTGAGTTCTGGTCTTTTTGTTAAAAATACCTTTAATCCCTCAATTCCTCAAATTTCCATTTTCCAAAATTCAGAATTATACTCAACTTCGCTGGGTAAGTTATTCTTGGATGCAATCCCAGCTCTTTTGCTCTTTGAAATATAATGTTCTAAGACCTACAGTCTTTTAGAGTAGAAGCTACTAAGTCTTGTGAAATCCTGACTATTTCTGCAGTATTTAAATTGTGGGGCTTTGTTTGTTTGTTTGTTTTGTTTTTCTTGCTGCATGTGGTATTTTCTCCTTAACCTGGGAGTTCTGAAACTTGGCTATGACATCGCAGTAAGTTTTTTTCCTGTGATCTATTTTGGGTGGTGAACAGCAGATTTTTTTTCTATTTCTGCTTTACCCTCTTGTTCTAGAACTTCAGGGCAATTTTCCTTAATAATTTCCTGTAATCTTGTATCCAGATTCTATTTTTGATCAGTCCAACAATTCTTATATCATCTCTCTTCCATCTATTCTTCAGATACGTTGTCTTTCTAACGAGATGTTTCAAATTCTATTTTTTCCCTAGTTTTATTGTTTCTTGGTGTCTTATAACATCATTCAATTCCTCTTGCCCATTTTTAGTTTTCAAGGAGTTATTTTCTTCCTTAAGATTTTGGACCTCTTTTTCTAATTGGTTAGCTTTCTTTTCGTAATTTTCTTGGATTGCTTTTATTTTTTCCTAGTTTTTCCTCAATCTCTCTTATTTGATTTTTGAATTCCTTTTTAAGTTCTTCCAAGTATTCTTTCTGGGCTTGTGAGCATTTGAAGTTACTCTTTGGGATAATAGTGGCTTTTTCTTCACCTATCTTCCTCTGAACATGAACCCAAATCTTTTTTTACAGCAAAATAACTATCTCTGGTCAGGTTCTTTTTCCTTTGCTAACGGTATGTGTGTGTGTGTGGGGGGGGTGTCCTTCAATCTCCCCCCCCCCCCCCCCGGCTGTCTGCTGTTCCTTAGATGAAAGTTTGTGAGGTGAAAGTTCCTGAAGCTGAGGTGAAATTTCTCTAGGCCTAGTCCACTTCCCAAGTGAGCTGCCCTCAGGGCCTACTGTTTGTTGATTCCGTGTTGGATTGGAGGTATCTACACTTCACTCAAGCCAAAGCTCAGCCCCTGGAGGCCCTGTCTTTTCTGAGGTCCTCTCAAGTTATCTTAGGAGGACAATGCTTCACTCCTTTAGTTTGACTACTGTATGGTCATTTAGTGGTGATTTTCTGTCTGTAGAGGAAATCTGGAGAGCCTGGAAATTTCTGACCTACTCCACCATCTTCCCAAAATGCCCTCCAGATAGATATAATTCTGGTCTGAGACCTTCTCTCTGTGACGAAAACACAGTAGCCAGCCTCTGGCCCCAAACTCTTGCTTCCCCTGCTAGAAAGGAGCAAAGCCTCCTTGGGAAAGAGTAGAGAGAGGAGAAGCTAGAAATGTCTATTCTTGCCTCCCCGCTTACCGTTCTTTACACATAAACAAATTTTCTCTATAGTGTTTCTGAGTAAATGTTGATTTCTTTTTAGGTAAGTGAAGCAGGATAGGGTGAAATTCCAAAATGATAAGAAAGTGACTAAGGAAAATGTATGCTGCCAAAGAGGCCTACTGAGGCTGACCTTATACGTTTAAATAGTTTTCATGAACCAGTTTGGAAAATAGATTACTACTGTAATAATGACAAAATGCAAAACAGTAGTAACATGCATAACTTTATTTAACTATAGTATTAGCTTAATCTCAAATACAATTGCCACCACTATCTATATTGACTTCAACACATATTTACAGGACAGTAGTATTTGGGACTTTTTTGTATACAGGAATTGCTATACAATTCCTCAAGAAATCCCTTTCAAGTGCTAACTTGTTATTATTCAAGCATAGCAGTCTAAATAAATCAAAATACTGAAATTTTAAACTTAAAAAAATTGAATCCATGGAAGCCCGTTACCTAATCTGCAAAAATCACTAACCTCTGGTTGAAGACAGGTATATTCATGTACTGTCTCAATATTCATTTTGCAATGAGAAAGCTCTTTCGTGCATCTTAACTAGTTAGACACTCTTAAGCAATTTGTATTGATCATTATATACTGTAGGGGGAGTGTGAGAAGATCAGTAATCAGAAGCAGCACTTGATGCTGATGTTCCTCAGAACGGGAAATGTAAAATTGTAGGTGTTCACGTCCTTTCTCCAGGTTATTCAATCCTGTGTCCTGTGATTTGATGTGGATGTATTGCTCAGCCTCTTTCTTTGCAGCTAGCAAGTCAGTTCAAAAGCAAAGGATGGAATAGGGGACGAGAAAGAAGGCAGCACGGAAGGAAGAATATCTACCAACCCCCGCCATGATGCTGAGAATACACAGCGCTGTGTTTAAATTTAAGATGGACATGTTGTAATGTTATTACTTTTACAAAGATTTACAAACCAGAAAACTATGGATTCTCTGTCTTTTCATGGAAAAAGGAATTGGATGCTTTGGGGCAGATTAGATGGGAAATGATCCCTATTTTTCGAAAACAATGTTTATAAATCTACTCCTTAGGTTAAATGACAAGAAATATAGGACTCAGGGATGACCATCAACAGAGACCAAGAACGCATTAAGGTCCTAAGGCCAAGTACTCCGTCATCGGAGTTCAGACGTAATAATAACACATGTGCTTTCAAATAAAACAGGCAAAGTCAAACATTCAACAAAACAAATTGAGAATATCCTCCATGCTAAAGTTACATTGTTTAACAGCAAAACATAGCTAAGAGAATTTCATACCTTGACTCCACATCACAATCTTAGATATGACCCATTATGAAGTCACTACAATAAAGCTACTTTTCCCAGTCTGCCAGACTCAGCGAGTCTCATTTTCCATATTGGCTGCTTCCCTTATTTGGGGATGGTTCTTCTTTGTGGCTGTGTTACTCTGTCCCGGAAGGATTCTCACGTGAGCCAGTCTCTCTTCAAATAGTGTTGACCAATAAGTGTAAAGAAAAACCAGTTCTCCCTCAAGTCCCGTCCTATTCCGAATTCCATATAGAAAGCTATTGTAATGGCTATGAAAAAGGCGATTCCAAGATTCTTCTGACAATCTCCATCCATGAATGAAGTCTGGAGGGTCGGCTATTCAAAGGTAATAAAGACTATTTGACAGTATTTTATGGGGATTTTTACGAATACTCTGGCCAACCAGGAAAGCCAGTTTGTGGGCGTATTGGCATGGAGCTGGAACTCGAATGACACCCTTTAGTGGAGGGAAAACAATTCAACACTTAGTTTGCTAACCATATTTTAAGCCCTTTCAATGTTAAGTAAAAGCTTACTGAGAAATGAGTCAGTCAGTAAGCATTTATTAAGCACCTACATTGTTGGTTTTCACTTTGAAAACTTTCCTAATTTAATCTTGTCAGCATCAGTAAGTCTTTTCACTAACAGCAACTTGCTATCCAGTAACCCTTAGTAGATAAATCCTTGGGTGTAGATTAAGGGTCTGAGAACCCAGATCACACAGCTAGTACGACAGGGCATTTGAACCTAAGTCTTCATAATTTCAAGTTACGGCCTTCCCTAGGAGATTACTTACCATCCACTCTGCATATAAGTATAAGTTTATTTACATTTTTGCTTCCCCATTAGAATGGGAGCCTCTGTCTTTTTTTGTACCCTCATTTCTTAGCATGGCACTTGGTATATATAGAAGGCTCTTAATAACTGCTTGACTGACTTGTTCCATCCCCCAAGTTTTTCTTTTCATAAATTAGATCTAAATATGAATTAGATCCAAGTATATCAAGGGTTCTTAACTATTTTTGTATCCCAGATCTCTTTGGCAGTCTGGAGAAGTCTGTGGATGCCTTCTCAGAATTAGGTTTTTAAATGCATAAAATTAAAGACACGGGATTACAAAGGAAACCAAAGTTTAAGTGAAAATAAAAATGTAACTTTTCCCCATCCAAATTTGTGTACCTTCCCGCAAAAATTTTGTCCATGGACTCCTTAAAGGTCTGTGGATCCTAAGTTAAGAATCTCTGCAGAAGAGAAAAACACTTACAGTCCAGTTATAATACATGTAGCATAGCTTGTAAGTTAAGCACTGTATTTGGTCGGGGGTCAGGTCAGTATTATCAAAGATCACATTATAATGTGTTGGCATCACACTACCCACTCTCACGGACTGGCTGATGATAAAGAAGTCATACCTGTAATTACACAACACAAAAATGCCCATCTATTAGAAAACTGAGGAGTCAACAGGACTCATTAATATATAGTGAAAGTTTTTAATTTGAGACTAAAATAACTATTTTACTACATTTCAAGCATTTGGCATCGAGAAGCATGGGTTATTAGAAGACACAGGCTTAGAGATACAATAAAAGATGTCAAAATTGCTTCAAAAAAGTTATTTTGCTCTTTAGACTTCAAACCTCAATCTCTGCTTGCAATGCTCTTCAGGAAAACAGCCAGATATTCAGTCAGTCAATAAGTATTTATTAAGTTCCTACTACTGCTATGCTGAGGACATAAATATGAAAGAGAAAAAAAAAGCCAGTCCCTGCCCTCAAGGAGCTTGAAATCCAATAAAGAAAGAGAACACACAAAAGGAGGCTCGAAGAGGAGAGGGGAAGAGAGGACCATAAAACCTTTGGAAAATTTAAATATTGGAAAGCATGAATCTCAAGCTGAAAATTTGATTGTTAGATAAGTTTAAAGACATTCCTCTTAATAATCCTCTTCCCAGGAATATGCTATTAGAAAATATACTTCAACATATTAATTTATCTTTCATCAATGAAAGCATTTTTAATTATTCTGATTTATTAGAACCATCTACTTGGCCTTATGAAGAACTAACTTCACCATGGATAGCCAATGGCGCTGGCCAGTGCATCGTCTAAGTGAAATTTTAAAACAAAGTTGTTTTGAAGGATTTGGGGGATTTTGTAAATAAGAATGTAGAATCAATGTTTTAATTCCCAAAATTCAACAGGAAACTAAAAAAGGAGTAATACTGTCATCACTAGTGCCGAAGCTGAAAGAGGTGTAATTTTAATAAACATAATTTGTATGAGGGTAGGAAATAATGTAATAGCAAATCACATGTCAGATTTAATGACAATATATTTATTGGGAAAAGATTCGGTGGATTAGGAGGCAATGTGATTTGTTAAATTATGGCTGAATTACAACTGTAGATCATCTGTGGATAAAAGAGTTTGGCAAAAATCAACAAAAGCATTCTGTGAGAAGCTATTGGCCATATAAAATTTACAACAAAGAGTATTATCATTTCATTATTATTTGTAAATTGTGCTACACATCTTTTATATCAGTAAAATAAACTTTCGTATATGCATAGATGCATACTTATTTTTTTTTCAGAAGAGCTGATTGTTAAACCTTTACCAGCACATTAAAAGTTGTTAACCTCACAAAACAGTGACAATTGCTTAAGGAGAAAAGAGCCTGTGAAGATACTGACATAAAATCCAGGTGAACCAGGTTATTTGGAGAGCATTTGTGGATGAAACTGAAGTATGGATAAAATGAAATCAATCTTCCACTGTTTTTGTAGGATCTATTCTCATAGGCAGCAATAATGGAGATACCACATTTGAATGCTACCACTTTTAATTCAACTAATATCTCATGTGAGAAAAATGTACTTGAGAGGGGCAGACGACCATATATGTATGTGTGTACATGTGTGTATGTTGCATTGCATATATACATACATATATTTAATATACATACATGCACTAATACACACGTAATGTGTATATGTTTGTGTGTGTGTGTGTCTATATAAAGGTATACATTGTTAACCAAAAGTTACGACTCCACAAGATATGGGTAGTAACTGGTTGACTTCAGGGCAACAACATATATAATACACACACACACACACACACACACACACACACACACACTAACCACTACCAACTGATACAGGAATGCTGACCTGCTCCACTTTTTACCTAGACTGTTTCACCCCTCCTTGGTCAACTTGCTGCACCCTCCTCCTCATTCCACTTGCTCACCATTTTCATGCCAAACAGTGTAACTCAGAACTCCTTATGCTCAATTGATCTACCAGCCTCAGCCCCCCAGTGGATTACACGCATGTACCACTACATCTAGCCTTGTCCATGTCTACAGAGAACTCTAGGAAATTATTTCAAAAGGATTATGGTAGAAAAACTCTACAAATCTGTCAAAGAAGAGAAACTTTCAAAGTAGAAAAGCCCACAGGCATTGTTTTTACCAAAGTGACATTAGCAACTCTTGACTCATACGCCTTCCTCAACTCTAAAGAAAATTATGAGACTGATCTATGATGTATCCATGTAGAGTACATTGAAGAAAAGAACAAGGAGAATAGGCAGGCTTCCACTGGCAATTTCTTGCCGCACATGTCTTTACAGTCATATTATTGACAGGAAAAGAATAGAATGTGTATTGATTTTTTAAAAAGCACCTGACTCAATAGAGAGGAAGAAAAGACATAGCCTTGAAGTCTTTGCTCAGACAAAATGTTTTTCAATCATTCACCAAAATCATGTCAGATTGACAAACTCCAAAAAATCTTTTCATTATAGACATCATTATAGACATTATAGACATCAAGGTGCTGAGCTGAGGAGGAAACACTTGCTATAAGTGTTGACAAATGTCACAGATGAAGTTCTAATTTCTAAACAAAGACTTTACCAAAGAGGTTCTATGTAAGATTCTACAGATTCTCCTGGGCTGCGTATGAACTAGTGTTTCCATATATATATATACATATATATATATGTGTATATATATATGTATATATATGTGTGTGTATATATATATGTGTGTATATATATATATGTATATATACCCAATGCCATGGATAATTGGGGGAAAATGATCCTTCGCTGCTCATTTTGCACAGTTATGTCTTGGACCAAAGGTTCTTTAAACTTTTTTGCTCCTTCTGTTTCTCAATCTGAAGAAATATTGCTTATCATTTCCCACCATCCTTTTCTATGAGCTTTTATAAACAAGTCTGTCTTCTAAGCTGCTCCAGCCTTTCTTGGGCATATCTTTTTCCTTGGCAAGGAGATCAGATGTTTACTGATTCTGGAGGTTTCTAGGTAACTTTGGCTTCCTTATGACAAGCGATTTCCATGGATTACACTTTAGTATAAAGTTATAATCAGTATAGGTATCCTTTCTTCCATCCATTTCCCCTTTTTTGTTATCAGTAACTTATTTAAATAGGTCAGGTTGGAACTATTTCACTTGTACACCCTATATTTCTCATTTTTATTCTTCGAGTTTTACATCATTTTTGATGTAAAAATTTTGCTCTAACAAGCTAGTGGACTAATTACACCGATAGCTGATTTAGGAATGACTTCCTTAACAGTAACAAATCATTTCCTGGCTAAGGGTGGTAGTATATACCTGAAGTATTTTGTCTTAACCCAGGAGGTGGGCTATCACTGGTAGAGTATCCACATTAAGTCTGGCAACAATATCATGAGCCCCTGAAGGTTGTGGATTACTAGACTGCCTAAATAAGGATGTGTGAGCCAGCTAAGGTTGGAAAAATGGAACTGGTTAAAGGTTCCATGCCAAGTAGTACTGAGATCAAGTCCAGGAATGATCGCTGAATTTCCAGCTTGAACAAAATAGGGAATCTCAACCTAAAAAAAAACCCCACAAAATAAGCAAACAAACAAAAACTCAAGCCATTTCCTATCTGTTAACACATAACCAATTTCATTGTCTCTGTGTGTGTGTGTCTATGTGTGTGTATGTGTGATATTTGATGCTCACCATTTTTCAGCCCAATTCATCCTAAAGTGGCCTGCTGACTTCGCTAAACTAATCATGGAAAACTCTTGCAAGGACCATATCAGAAAAGCTTGTGAAGTTTTAAATCCATAAAGAACACTACTTTCTAAATCTTCACTTTTATTTCCCTACCACTATCCTAGAGCTAGACTAAAAGGAAAGCTTAGCACTGAAGAATCAATACTTTGGAACTATGGTGCTGGAGAAGACTTCTGAGAGTCCCTTGGACAGCAAGGAGATCAAATCAAATCATTACTTAAAGAAACTAACTCAGGCTACTCACTGGAAGGTTAAATACTGAACCTTAAATACTTTAGTCATATAATAAGAAGATGGACTCAATGGAAAAAGACCCTGATGTTAGGAAAGATTGAAGGCAAAAGGAAAAGAGTTCAGCAGAGAATGAGATGGATAGATAGTATTGCGGAAACAACGAACGTGAATTTGGACAGACTTTGAGAGACAGTGAATAGAAGGGCCTGGTGTGCTATGGTCCATGGGGTCACAAAGTATCAAACATGACTAAATGACTGAACAACAAATCCTGGGTTACCAGTAAGGAATCTTTTAAAAAATGGCCAGAGGCAGTAAAATTGAAAAGACTGAAAGAAACAATACATTCCAAAACTAAACCAAAATGACAGCTCATCAGTTGGCTCAGATTATGCTAATATCTATTATATCCATGGATAATAACTAGATAAGAAAAGGATGTAACACCTAAGAATTTCTTTAAAAGCAATATAAATTGGATCTCATTAGGTTCAAAAGAACAAATTAGTTATGGTCAGTCAGTTGGTCAACTAGCATTTATTAAGGGCCTAGTATACCAGGCATTGTGCTAAGCAGTAGAAAAGAACTTAGAGTTTTACATACCCCAACTATAGAAATCAGCTAAGTCTGAATTTTACAAATTTATTGAACACTAAGTGGTGGAAGCAGCATTTAAATAAAGTCACAGAAACAGAAGTCAGGTGCGAAAATGATTCCCCTCACTTTGGTGGATCCCTAACCATTGCTCCTCCATTTTTTTAATTGAACTTACCATTCTGGTCTGGTAACCTCCACATCAATGACCGTCCCTGCATTTGGATTTTCAAGGTGTCCATTTTTCTCTACAAAAAATCTGGCATTCAGTCGTTTCTTTACCACGATGACTACAAGTCTTGGGATTAAAAGATAAGAGATGATACATTTCATTTACATGTCCTTGAAGTCATATCTTCAAAGCGTTTATAATTTCAAGGGAGTTGAGTCATTTGGAAAGTCTCACATACCTCATTTAAAAGAAAAAAAATATGTAAGACCTCACTCCCCACTCCCACCCTCCCAATGATAGGGAATATTTTATCTTAGGGAAAATTTGGATTCAAAGGGATCTAGTTGAAGACAGAATAGGGGAAGGGGTTACTATAAAATCACTCCTGTAAAAGCAAGCAAACCATGTTGGGGCTTTAGTAGACTGAAAACTCAGCAGGGTCACTAGGATCCAACAGTTAAAAATAGTAATATAATCCTTGGCTATATTGAGTTGTATTGCCCAGGCCAAGGGAGGTCACAGTCTCACTGTTTTCTACCCAAGTCAGATATCTGAAATACTGTATTTAAGTCTGGGTGCCATGCATTAGGCAGGACATTAGGAAACCAAAGGACAGTCAAGAAGAGGTCAACCAGAATGGGGAAGTGAATGGGATCAGACCACATGATAACTAGTTGAAAGAACAAAGGTTGTTTAGATTGCAAAAAAGAAAACTAAGTTATCATAGTTTTTTTCCCTTCCTTTTTAAGTAATTGAAAGGCAATACTGCAGAAAAAGGATCAGGCTGGTTCTTCTTGGCCTCAAAAATTAATGGTTAGAAGTTGCAAAAAAAATATCCATAATTGGGGTGGTAGAGGAGAAAGTAGCAGAAGAACACATTAATTTTTTTTAAATACTTGCTACCTCAACATTTTTAAATAATTAAAAAACAAAATTTTTAAATGAAAAAATGAGATCTCACTTTGATGCAAGGGAAAATTTCCTAAGAATTGTAGCTTTCCAAAGCAGAAGGGACTGTCATGTGAGTTAGTGGGGTCTCCCCTCACATCTTCAAAAGGAGACTAAATGACTACTTAGCAGTGATTTTGTATAAGGAATAATTTGTCAGGCATTTGCAAGCAGGTAATAAGTATTTATTTAATGTTTAATATGTGCCAAGCACTTTGCAATAAGTGCAAAAAAAAGACAGTCTCTGACCTCAGCGAGCTTATATTCTAATGGGGGAAGACAGCATATGTAAGAGAAAGTAGGGAAGGAGAGTTGATAATCAGGGGCATGGGGGCAAAGTCTAGAGAGTCAGCAGCACAGCCAGGAACTAAAAAAAGCATGGCAGCTTAACTGGACCCAAATAAGGAGCTCACCAGTGGAAGAAGGGAACTGGCATGTAGGAGAGATGTTCTAGGGTAGAAAAGCCTCAGGCACTGAGAAAAGATATAGGAAAAATGGACATCTATATAAGATTGAGAGTAAATGGTCTCTGAGACTCCTTCTAGCTGCGAAATGCTCTAATTCAGCCTACATAAAGTTGGGGGAGGGGAATAAGGGACCTCATCCTATCAGAACCAATGTCAAATTACAAAATTAAGAATGAATGTGTTGGGGCATGAAACTGTGGCAAAGAGAGGTTCCTACTGGAGTTTTCTCTGTGGATTTCCTCCAATTTATCTTGTTGCTATATTATTTGTACATCACTGGTTGCATGTTCTCTTCCTCAGTAGAGTATGAGCAACTTGAGAGCAGGGATTGTCTTCTTGACTTTTTTTTTTTGTATCACTAGTGCTTAGCATACAGCAATGCATCCCTAGTACTTGACTCATAGTAGGCACTTAATAAATGTTTACTGACTGACTTCCACGACATTATGATACAAGGCCATGTAACATTCACCTAAGAGTACTCTCAGAGTATTCAGGGTTGACAGGTGATTTAGTACAACCCCTTTCTGGAAAGGAGTCTGCTCTCTAGTATCTGACAGGGTAGGGATGAGATGGTTATAGTTAAGTGTTTCAAAGGTGGCTGCGTGGAAAAGGGAATAGTTTTGATCTGTTTGGCCCCGGAGGGCAGAACCAAGAGTAATGGGTGGAAATTGCAAAGAGGTAAATTTTAAGTTCAAGGTCAGGAACTAACTTCATTAAATGGCTGGCCCTCTAAGTGGAGGGTTCCTCTCTAGGGAAGTCATCAAGCAGGTTGGATGAGCACTTATTGGGGATATTAGTGGAAAGTTTTTGTGTGCAGGTTGGCCTAGACTCTTCCTTCCTAGGCTCTTCTATTATTCTGGTCATCCAGCCTCTGCTTGAAAACATCAAGTGGAGGGGAATCCAATGCCAGGGATGTAACCTGTTTTACTTCTGGCTAGATCTACTGGAAAGTTTTTTTGTCTCTGTTTTTGTTTTCCTGAGATGAAGGTTAAATTTGCATCCAAATCTATAACTTTCTGGTTCCATTCTCTAGGACCAAGCAAATAAATCTTCACCTTAATTGCCCTTCCAATACTCAAAGTTGGTTAATCTGCCCTCCTTTAATTCTTCCTTTTTCCTTGGTAGTTTTCAATACTTTCAATTAATCTTTGGAAGGCATGATCTCCAGTCTCTTAACTAAACTATTCTTCCTCCCTGGGGATATGTTCTAGTCTTGTCAATCTCCTAGAGTACCTAGAACAGATTATTCCAGTGCCTGTGGTGCAGTACTGCGAAATCATCATCTTCCTTGTTCTGGACACTAAGACTGCCATTCAAATGCTACTCAAACTGGACCTTTTAGAGAGAACTGAATCATTCTAAAATGATTACATGCTTCATTTAAAAAAAAAAGACAGCCATGCACAACCCCTATCTAACCTCTCTAAATGAGGGAATGCATCTTTGGTTTAAAAATCAATCCCACTCCACCCCTTTGCAGAGGTCAGAGGACCACAGTGTTGTACATTATATACATTTTCAGACTTCTTTGATATATTGATCAGATTATACTGATTTTCCTCCTCTTTTTCTTTCTTTCTTTTTTATTTTTGGTCTTTAAAAACACTATCTGTTATATGACTCTCTGGGAAAGAGTACTGGAAAAAAAAATTAAACCAATGAACTTGTTTTCCCAGTAAAGGAATAAAGTAAAGATGACTGCTCTCCCCACTATTTGATACAGTTCTAGCCATGCTGGGTACAGCAATAAGAGAAGAGAAAGAAATTAAAGGCATAAAGAGAGGCAAAGGGCACACAAAATTATTCCTATCTGATGACAGCATGACGGTTACATAGAAAATCCAACGAAAGCATTGAAGATACTGAGACAATTAATAACAAAGTACTCCCTTAAAAAATAAAGAGTAACTAAAACAGCTGGAAAAATATTCATTGCTCATAGCCAGGCCCTGTCAATATAATAAAAGAAAGTCAATACAGCCAAAGTTGATTTACAGCTGTAACGTTATACCAAATTATCAAAGGTTTACTTTTTGTTGTTGTTTAGCCGTTCCAGCCATATCTGATCCTTCACGACTCCAAGCAGGGTTTTATTGGCAAAGATGCTGCCATTTCCTTCTTCAGCTCATTTTGCAGATGAGGAAATTGAGGCAAACAGGGTTAAGTTACCTACGCACGGACACACATCTAGTAAGTGTTTGAGGACTCATCTGAACTCAGATTTTCTGACTCCAGGTCTCATACTGTATCTACTGTGCCACCTAGCTGCCACTAAAGGGTGACTTCACACAACTCAAAAAATAACAAAATTCATTTACAGAAACAGAAATCTAGAAAATTAAAGCAAATAATGATAAAAAGGTAGGGTTGAAGGTGGACTAGCATTGTGAGATCTGAAACTATATCATCAATGGAACAGATAGACAAGGAAGAATTGCAAACAACAGGACTCAATAACCCACTGTTCAATAAACACAAATTACTTAGGAAAGAACTCCTTTTTTCATAAAAACTGCTAAAAACTAGAAATCAGCCTGGTAGAAATTAGTCTTGACCAACATCTTATGCCATATTTCACAAAAAATTCAAAACGGATATGTGACCTGAACATTAATGATCATAACAAAAAAAAGTTAAAAGGAAGCAGATTATATATCATATTCCTCCCATAGCTGTAGGTAAGAGATGTATTATTAACTAAACAAGGGATAGAGGCAATTACAAAACAGAAATTAGATAATTTTGATTCTGTGAAACTACAAAGCTTCTGCACAAATAAAACTAATGCATCCAGGATAAGAAGAAAAACCAACAGGAAAAAATCTTTATATCAATTTCTCAGAAAAGGGTTTAGTATCCAAGTCAACATTTACTCCCAGTCTAAACTGTGATTATTAGTACCCTCTGCCTCCTTTTTCAGCCTTTTTCATCACTGTAGAAGGAGAAGGGATCCACACAATACCAAAGGATCACTTTTTTGTATTCTGTTTCATGGCCAAAGCCAAAGAATACGTCATTAAGAGGCTCATGTATTGGTGATGAGTTTCATCATACTTAGGTTGAGTCTTAGAAAACAGACTACCAGGATCAAAGTGAAGCCTTTGTAAATTGGTAGACTTTGACAGAGTTTACTCTATGTCTTGGCATAATCTTTACATTTTAAGGATAACTACTACGCCACAATGAAGTACTCAAAGAGGATTTCAATTTTAAAATCTCCTTATTAAGTTCACCCAGTGGCCTAGCAGATTCGAGCTTAAGAAAATCCTTTTGAATCATGGCTTATCTAACGTATTAGTTCTTTTTCCTGTGTCACCTGTAAACTTGATAAACAAAATATCAATGCCATAATCCAATTTTTAGGCTCACAGATTTAGAATGGCTCAATGAGCTAACATGATTTAACATGCCATTGAGAACTATAGCATCCAGAAATGAAGAGGTGACAGTCCCACTGTCTATTAAACTCTGCTCACCCCATATCTGGAGTATTATATTCAGTCCTGGGAACATATTAAGAACATTAGTAAATAGGAGAACATCCAAAGGCTAGCAATCAGGATACTGAAGGGCTGTAAGTTTATGATATTTGAGGATCGGCTGAACGAAATAGAAATTTGTATATCGGGATGAGGTGAGTACAGGCACGGATGATAGCTTTCTCCAAGTGTTTGAAGGGCTATCATGTAGAAGAAGAGCTAGACTTACTCACTTTGACCCCAGAAACAGGTAGAAGTTCTAAAGCGGGCAAATTTGGGCTTGAAGTAAGGAAGAAATACCAAACAATTGGAACTTCCCCAAAGGGAGCAAGCTGCCTAAGGAGACAGCTGTTTCCACCTCAGCAGAGATCTGTAAGCAAAGGCTAGATGACTATGTGGTATAAGTAGGAGTTAGGCAGCCACTGAGGTCCCTCTCAATTCTTAGCAATTGTCTCTTTTAAGCCCCTCACTTTCTAGATAAGGAAATTATACTCTCAAGTGGCTAAGTGTCTGGTCTAAGGTCACACTTCTAATAGATTAACAGAGCCGGGATTTGAAACCCAGTTCTTCTGATCCCTAATTCAAGGCTCTTTCTGCTATACCAGATCAAATCTCAGAGGCCAGAGTGCCAACAAAGTACAGACAGACACATTGCTCGCAGGGAGACAGGGAGTGGGTGATAAACCATGGAAAGGAGGCAAAATTTCTTATTTTCATTGTTCTCTCCCCTAAGTAGAACGATCTTCAAGCTGGATGGGGGGGGGGGGGAAGCTGACAGAGGTCCCAGGATAAATTCCTAGCATTCGACTACACACTCCCTTCCTTGTTAATACTGACTTGATAATGAGCACTCTTGCATCATTTAATCAGCTGCAGACATTTACTTGTTTTACTGCTTAGTCCTCATCCTTCCATCTAGCCCATGATGACAGCACAAAATTCTTGGCTGACATTTAGTTACACTACGTAAAAGACACTCTCCTACTCTACCAACCTAGTAAGCCTTCTTAAAAGGGACATAGGGCTCATCTGGCATGACCTGATTTTTCATTTTGATTTTGTTTTATGAATCCATGCTGGTTCTGTGTGACCATCACTTCCTTTTCTAATGTTCATAAGCCATACCTTCAATGCCCTTTAGAATTTTTCCAAGAGATGAAGATCAGTCTAGAATTTAGTGATATCACTTGCTTCCCTTTAAAAAACATGGAACATTTGGCCACCTCTCATCTCATGCATTTCACACCCCCTAAAGATGAACAATAGTGGCTAAATAATCATATCAATTGGTTCTTGAAGTATTCTGGGTCTTGAAGTATCTAGGTCTGGGGACCTTGAATTCACTGAGGACTGTTAGGTATTTTTATACTATTTCTTCACTTCTTGGGTTAATTTCTCTCTATTTTTGTCCTGTCCTTTCTAGTCTGAAGGTCATTTTCCTTGTTAGGAAAAAAAAATGGAAGAAAAACTGTTTGCTTATCATCCCATCTGCCCCAAATACTGGTCTTTTCTCTTCTTGAGTCTCCTTGTCTTAGGACTTTTGACCACAGCCTTAAAAAATCATGATATTCTTTGGTATAGATCCTCAGTTACTTGTCCTTATTTCTATCTTTAACATTTAAAAAAAATCTAACTTAGCTGATTACTCTCAAAATTATCCACACTGGTGCCTTTAGATTACTTCTCATATTCTTCTTCATCAAAAGAGCTTGTGTTCATAATTTCATTTCGGAAGGCCTCCTATCTGTCTCTGGTCAATCTCCCCCATCAAAGATCCTATTCATTCTGCTTTTGGAATCCTTTGAAATCTGTGCTTTCAAAATTAAGGCATGCCAGGGGTTACTTGTGTGAATAGTGGCATAAAAAGAGATCAATCGGGAAATGTATAATTGGAAGAGGATACGAACCAGTTATGAAACAAGAGCAAAAGACGACAGACTGAAGGTACTCTGTGCCCACAGAATGTGAAAAGACAGAAAGAAAAGCTTTGGTATGTCACAGAGTGCCACTATGTATACTTTATGGTAAACAGATACAAATTATAAAAAATGAGGAAGCACTGATGGTATTGGAGTAGTTCCCACATATCACATAACAGATCCAATTTATTATAGATGTATTCAAGAAAAAAAGAAAGTTGGATATAGTTTTAACCTGGCTTTGGCACTTCCTACCTCTCTGATCCTCAGTATTCTCATATGTAAAATGAGAGAGACGGACCAGATTACTTCTAAAGGTCCCTTCTTGCTCTAAAAATCATGATCCTATTAATTATAAAATGGAGCAGTCATCTTTTGAAAAATAAAATTGGCCATTTGGGGAAAAATAATTTATCAACTTCTTTACTTTTGGCAGAAACTGGGCTTCCAATGCCAGGATAATTGAGTCCTCTGATCCCTCATCACTACAATATCATGATTCCATAGCCAATTTGTCACCTACTTCCAAAATTTCTCATCTGTTTCCTCCTGGCTGGGTAGTATGAAGTTTTCCTTCTATTGATCCTTAGCAAAAACACTCTCTACAACACTGCCTTCTTTCTGATTTCCTAATTTCTTCACAGTTACATTACACACACACACTTGCACACATATACACACACACAGTGTACAGTTGTCTCCACTAATAATCCCTACCCTCAGAGAGTTTACATTCTAATTTATTTTTTGGTCTTTGTGATCTCAGCACCTCTTACTTAGCCTGTTGTTTTTTTTTAACATGCAAAAATATATAGCCTACAGCCATATTCAAAGCATGAGACCTATTCTACCAATGCCATTAAGTGGCATACCTAGGAAGCTGTGTTTATGTATCCATCCCTCCATCTATCTACACACACACACCTGGGTCAGATACCACAAATAGATGTTGAGCTGGGTCCAGAACAATACAGGAAGAAAGAGGGCTGGATTAACTTTGGGCTTGGTTCTTTTCAGAACCCCAAGCTTCTGTATGAAACAAAAACCCATTCACACAGGCATTCTTCTGATGATGTTTCACGGATGGCTGCAAGGCACTGAACACTATAGTCTCTGAAGAATGAAGTTGCAGCTCCCCCGAAAAGCAATGAAGAGGCACATACCAGCATGATTGAGTCACAACATATTATAAACAAAGAATTAAAGAGAAGTAGTATAAAAGATATTAGAGAAATACATGGCTCAAAAAAAAGATGGCTGGGTCAGTTAGAGACAGTTAATGGGCAGTGCACATGCTTGAGTGGTATCCATCCAATGCTAAGAGGGCATAAAGAAGGCTCCCAGCACATGTGCTGGGATCTCCTGAGGAAGACATGGATGAAAACTGAATAGGATGGGCAGATATGAATGGATTGTAGTCTTTGATGTTGCAGGGAATAATCACATTGATGAGATAATTAATTCATTGTAATACTGGAGTATTATTTCCCTACCACCACAAGCCCCACTGTCCATGCTAGACAAGATTCTTTTCCATGTTGTTCAGGGGTTCTTAACCATTTTGGGGTGTTATGGGCCTTTGGGCAGACTGCTGAAGTCTATGGATGGTATGGATGGACAAGAATAATTTTTTTTTAGTGAGGCAATTGGGGTTAAGTGACTTGCCCAGGGTCACACGGCTAGTAAATATTATGT